CTGTCTCACGATTACCCTTGAACACCCAGCACACACAATTTCAGACTTTGAGAAGATGGAGAGGCTGAGGATACCTGGCATACGCCAGTATCTACCATGCTCCCAGCATTAGGGGAAGGATATACCTCTAGGAAGCGAGAGTGCAGAGCCTGCTCTGTGATGTCAAGCACTTCTGGGTTGTAAATGCTGCCATTGTCAAACACCTGCTGGATGATCAGCCCAAAGGAGAAGGGGGAGATGTTCAGCATGTTCAGCAGCGTGGCTTCACTGGCTCCTACTTTGTCTCCAGTTTTTATCAGCTGCACATCACTCTAAGGAATGAGAAAGTCAGACCATTTACCATCTGGACATACAACAAACAGGCCCGCAGCCTTCAAGCCTGTCTACTCACCAGAATTTCAATGGTGCCCCTGGAGATTTTAGTGGTGATGCCTAAAGCCTGGAAAAAAGAGGTCTTCTCGGGCCCCAGACCAGTGTTCTGGGCTGGCACAGTGACCTCACATGGGGCGATAGCACCAGCACGGGCAGCAGCTGGCACCTGCACGGAAAAAAGGTATTAAATATTGAAAATCTCTCCACTGATAAACATGGCTAAACTCTGCCTTCATTCGCCATGCAGTCCGAGTGTCCTCCTCACCTTATTGGCCAGCAACATGTCCCTAATCTCAGTGAGGTCCTCCTTGGTGAACACAAAGCCCACATTGCCCCGGATATGAGGCAGCAGTTTCTCCAGAGCTGGGTTGTTCTCCAGGTGCCCCCGGATGGCCTTCCGCATCATGGTGTTCTTGCCCATCAGCACCACAGCCTTTCCTCGCAGGGACATGCGGATCTGCTGCATCTGCTTGGAGCCCACATTGTCTGCTCCCACAATGAAGCATTTTGGATAATCATCCAAAAGTTGCTATTAAAACAAGCCAGAAAAACCAAGGTTTGAAACAAAATCAGCAGAAACCAAACCTCACGACTAGTTCCCTACTCCGTTTCGTTTACGCTTCGAGTTAAACTAGGAGCCAGTCACCTCAGCTTAATTTGACCCCAACTTACTTGCTGGTTATGAATGGTATAAATTTCTGAGAGGTAGTCAAAAATTACCTTCTAGCTGGGTGCGGTAGCATATCTGCCATGCTGGTTGAAGCCTAATGCTAATTACAGGCCAGCCTGAGCTACAAGGGTAATCCCGACCTCAAAAAATTCCATTTTTATCTTTCAAGTAAGGTATGCTGGTGGACTAAAATGACACCGATCGGGGGAAGAGACAGGCAGGGCACACTACTGCAGAGCTAACCAGGGAACTTAATTTGTGAACATAAACGTTACTGTAGCCAAAAATCTCTTGTGTCTAAAACTCATATGGTAAACAGAGGCTAATGCCTACAAAAGCAGGTAGCCGATCTTAGGAACCGCTTCAGACGCCTTTTGTAGTAAGTCACCAGACACCTGCACCAACATGCCTAACAGTGAGTCACTCCTCGGCTCAGCCTTTCCCACAGACGGCAAGGGTTCTACAGGTGAAGGAGCTAGCTCGGCAACAGAAGCTGGGACTACAGAATTTCTCTAGACAGCCTAACTGTGAAAGCGCCGGGCAGGTGACTGCCCCGTGAGAGCCCGGGCCGGAAGCGGCCCGTCCACGGCGCGCTCCGCACTTACGATGATCTTAAGGAAGTAGTTGGACTTCCAGGTCGCCCTGTCTTCCCTGGGCATCACGGCGGTGCGTCAGGGATTGCCACGCAGGGTTTAAAGACGATGTCACTGGGGAAGAGAAGATCAGCGTGAGCCCGGCCACCCCGACCCCAGTCCCCGGCCCGAGGCCTAGGCCGAGCCGGCCACGCGGGAACTGGGCCCGGGAGGGTGGGGGTCCGCCGCCAACAGCGGAGGCGCAGGCGGGACAGGGCAGCCCAGTCCCGTGCCTCCCTAGCCGCACCCCGAGCCCACCGCTATCGACCCCAGAGTCCCCGTGCTCCTGCCACCCTCCCACAGAGTCACACAGTAAAACCCAACCTCCAACGAGGACGCCTGGCGAGAGAGGGCCGCGCGCCCGTGAGCGCCTTTTATATGGGCACTAGGAGCCGTCATAGCCGACGACGACGTACGTATCTATTGGCTGGCGCCATCAACTGTCCCGCCTCACCAAATTAATCTAGGCAGCCATTGGGTGATACCGCTGCCACTCCAGTGGGTAGGTGACTAAGGACTGCTCCCAGTTGTGTTAGAGGAGCGCTCCCGGAGCTGCTGCCCTCTGCCGGGCTGGAGCCGCCTTGCAGCGTCTCCGAATCAGTACGGTAAACCGAGTGCTGAGAAATGTCCCCTTATGTTTTTTTTTTTTTTCCAAAACCAATGTCCTTATCCGCACAAAACTCATCCGGGGTTCCTCTTTTCTCTGAGTAAAAGCCTAGAACCTAAACTATGTACAAGGTCCTACACGACCGCTTCCACCTTCACCCTGCAATCTCCTCTTTGACTTTCCTACAGAAGCGTTTGTCTCTAGCCTGGTCTCTGCTGTTTGTCAAGAGCGCGCCCTTATTTCAGGGCTTTTGCCCAACTTTTCCATCTTCCTGGAATGGTGCCTGTTAGAATCTGCCAGAGAAACTCATTACCTTCTCCAAGTCCTGCTGCAAACGCCATCTACTCAATGAGACTTGCCCTGACTCTTGATACTAAATTTTAAGAAGTGGGGGTTGGGAATCAAAACTCCCCTGCCTTTCTCAGCACAGCACTTACGCCGGCTAACCCACTGTATAATTTATCACGTTATATTCGTCAACGTAAGCTCCACACAGGCAGATAGTTCGTTCTGTGCCTCCAGACAACAGGCATATACGTATTTGTTGAATGGGAGAATGCAGGATGGCCCAGATGAGCTGGTTCTGCCACTTGCTGTGCTGTCTTAGGAAGTACCGACCATCCTGTCTTCCTTCCTCATTTCTAATAGGAGGTTGTTATACCGTTTCTGGGATATAGGAGAAAATCAATTCATTAGCTTCTTTTATTAAATATGATCGTTCAGCACTTGGATAATTGTTTGGCTTTGGCTTTGAAACAGTCTGTCACCTGACCCAGCCTTCCACTGATACTCCCGCCTCAGGCTCCCCAGTCACCACATGTCCCACCATAGAAAGCTCAGGGGATAGGAGGGCTTTTCTTCCCATCTCCATGACTTTCATCAGCAAGTCGGAAATCCCCAGTGAGGGCAACCAGAGTACACATGACCAACACTCATCTGTCACAACCGTGGACCCCAGTTCTGCTTCTCAAAATGTTCCCCTAGGCTAGCGAGGGTGGGGTTTGGGGCTCTGATATCCAGTCCTGCCAGTTGAGTGCTGCTTTCGTAGGCATAAAGCTATCTTTTCACCCTGCAGTTCCCAAACCTGACAACCCAGCCCAGGAGCATCACAAACACCTGCACTCCCAGTCCCTAAGTAGGCAGAGTCTACTGGAGTAGGACCCGGGAACATGTGGTTTTTCTTAAAGGTTTTATGTGTTTATGTGTTTGTGTATGAGCCAGTGCAAATGTAAGCCGCATGGGTGAAGATACCCAAGGGGATCAGGGCCTCTAGGGCTGGTGTTCCCGGTGTTTGGGAACTGAACTCAAGGCCTTCAGAAGAGCATTCCCTGTTCTTAACTGCTGAGCCAGCTCTCCAGACCCATGAATAAATAAGTATATAAATATCGATATAAACGAATGTGTGTGTATCTGGGAGACTGGTATTGGGCCTAGGGCCTTGTTCATGCTAAGCAAGCAGTATCCTGGTCTAAGCTCCCTGGTGCCTTTGAAGGTCAGCCCAGTTTGAGAACCGCTGGAGCTGCTCTTTGGTGACGGTGTTTCTGCACGCCTGGCACTGTGCTAAGCACTTGTTCACATTCCCGATGCTCCTGGCTCCCTCAGTCCTGAGGTGCAATATTTTAATGAGAAACTCTGAGTTAAACCATCTAGGAACAGGTTCAAAGACCATGGGCCTCACCGTGCTAGTCAGCCAAACCCTACATCTGTTTTTCTCTAAATGCAGTTTTCCAAGTGTATACATATGATTTTGGCACATCTCCAAGGACATGCTGGCCCTAACAATATAAATGCCACCTCTAATTGTAGCATACCAGTAGAATATCATGGTATGAAGCCATTAGAAATGATACAAATACAAATCTATATCCAGTGGCATGGGAAAGCATCCACAAAGCATTACTGAGAAAGCCAATCATATTTTTATAAGGATGACTCCAGCGAGGGTTGGGAAAATAAACCAAGTCATTATCACTGAGTGGGTGTTGAAGGTCACGTCCAAAGCTCACTGTGAGAGTCAACATTCAGAATAACATTCACTAAGCCGCCTGAAAACCTAACCTAAAGGGCAGGGGAAACTGTGAAGCTACATTTTAGGGTGGAATGAACCGGTCCAGTTTGGCTTCCAGAGATCTGACAAGAGAAAACATGCAAATATGGACATGACCACAAGGAGGCAGTAGAGACTGACCAGCAGCAGGAAGCCTATAGCAGGCCAGAGAAGTGAGTGGACCAAGGTGTTGCCTGGGTGGGGCTTTGTGTTTTCATTCTCTTTTCTTTCTTTCTTTTTGTTCTTTTTTTCCTTTTTTGGTTTTTCAAGACAGGGTTTCTCTGTGTAGCTTTGAAGCCTGTTCTGGAACTAGCTCTTGTAGACCAGGCTGGCCTCGAATTCAGAGATCCACCTGCCTCTGCCTTCCAAATACTCGGATTAAAGTCATGCGCCACCACCGCCCAGCCTCCATTCTCTCCTTTCTCCTTGATCAGTGAGTGGACAGCTACCCACACGCCAAAGGCAGACACCCTCAGTGAATCCACATGACAGCCCGGAGCAGGAAGTGACCCATGGGCCCAGGCAAGCTCCCAGGATCCTCTTTTGCTTTTGGTCCTCCATGAAGGGGATGTCAAGGACTTGCCTTCTTTCTATGACTCTTCTGAGTCTAGAGAGACTTTGATTTCTCTACTGTAGCAACATCAAACGTCCAAGAAATAGCACTAACACAGGTGAAAATAATGGCAAACTTTATTGGCATAAATCACAGGAATTGAAATGGAAAAAGCCAGGTTAGAAGTTTATAGGAAAAAAAGTCAAATATCACATATCCATTGACCCAGAGAATGGCCCTCCAGATACCCCATCTCTTCTCGGAGAGGGGCCTGGGGCGGGTCACTGTAAACAGAGCAGTAAGGCCTGTGGGTGGAAGTGCCGTGTCAGACCTCCAGAGCCAAGCTCACCTTCCCAGACCTGGGGCGCTGCTAGTCTAGCCCAGACAGAGAATCCTTGTCGATGATCCCATCATACTGAGCCTCTACTAGGAAGCTGATGTAATGTCTGGATCTCTGGTCCAGGACTGGCTGCTCCCGTCCCATCCTTTGGAATGGGAGCTATGGAGCCTCCCATAGCTCTAACAGGGCCTAGTCCCTCTGCCCCAAATCCTACTAGGATCCCTTCGCCAACTTAGGGTATTCTTCCCAGAACCCCTCCCCGCAAAGCATGAATCCCACCTGAGAGAGGGAACAGCAAACTTTGCCCCAGTCACTGGGAAGTTTAAGGGAGCGATGCGCCCAGTAGAATCGAGACCAGAGACCCTTATGTATGATCTTCCTGGTCAAAATCAGACACCAGCTTTCCTGAGAAGGCAGAAGAGCCCCAGAGAAGCAATGAGGCGGCTGAGAGTGTTCAGTGGGTTCTCCCTGTCGCCAGAAAGTTCACGGGGAGCAGAGTGGCTCCTGATGGCTTACTCAGGCAGGAAGCAGACCCCCAAATATATACTTTCCCCTTCGCCTCCCTTGGGAACAGAACACATGAGGTTCAAAATTCCAGGTCCAAAAGGGCTGAGCACCCTTAGACCATTTCTTACTGGAGAGTCTGCTGGCCTGGGCAGTAAGGGAGCATCAGAAAATACAGCAGTTTTCAAACAGTCCTGGGACTGTGACATTGCAGAAGGAGTCTCAACTCACTTGTGCTAAGAAACAAAATAAAACACAGATTGTTCCCCCATCCCAAGCCCTCAGTACAAAGCCAAGGCCGCTGGCAGCACCAGTGGCGGTGGACAAAGACAAGAATACAAAGGGGGCCTTCTTTAAATCTCTTCAAAATCATCTTGTGGAGAGGAGTAAAAGCAAGTTGAGCAATACGAAGTTGAACCTCAGTGTAGAAATCTATCAAAATCGGTACAGTGTTGAGGCACGGGTGACCCTCCCCACCTCACGATGTCCCCAGAGATAAAGATGTGGCTATATAAAACATTATTGCTGGAGAAGCCTCTCTTGGTAAACCCAGGGCAGTCACCCAGACCCTGGGAGACTGGGCAGTGGACCCCAAAGTGCCTTTGGTGGCCCACAGGTGAGTTTATGCTGGCATTGTGTTAAGGGGGCCCGGTGTCCCCAGTATGCTCAGGGTAACTGAGAGAAATAAGGGTAAATAAGGTAAATAAGGGTACCTGACCCTCTCAGCCTGCCCACTCTGACCCCACTGCTGAGAGGTGTGTGAGGCTCCGCTGTGGGTGCTGGCTCATGAGGACACGCCTGCGGACCTCTGGTGAAGATAAGTGCACAGAGCCTGGGAGAGCCAGAGAAGGGAAGGAAGGGCCCTGAAGCTCTGGGGGGGGGGGGGTGAGGAACAAGCACGGCCTCCACAGTTCTGTCCTGCATCTGCACCTGCCAAGACAAGGTTCCAGTTTCTGTGGATTGGCCCGTCATCCCTGGGCGAGGTCCCTGGGTCACAGTAGCAGTGGGGGGCGCTGGCCGGGGAGGGTGGTGGGGACGGCCTAGCAGAAGAGCTTCACAAAGCAGCTCTGGCAGTAAGGCTTGTCGTTCTGCTCCTTGAAGGTGCCCTTGTTGAGCTGCTTGAGGCAAAAGGCACAGACAAAGTGCTCGGGGTGGAACTTCTTGGCCATGGCTGTGATACAGCGGCCGGTGATGGGCTTCTGGCAGCCAGAGCACAGAGAGCCGCGGCGCTCATGGTAGTGCACCTCACAGTACGGCTGCCCATCGTGCTCAAAGAAGCTGCCGTTGACAAACGGCGTGAAGCATTCCTGTCGGGGATAAGAGGGAAAAGGCTCAGGAACTGTCCCTGGTGGATGGTGCACAGAGGACTGTCACCTCCATAGGACTGTCACCTCTGTGGTGGCCCTACTTGCTTGTCATTTCCTATGTGCTAGGCTAAATGCTTAATTTTCCCCTGAAGGAAGAAGAGGAATTAAGTGAGGTGACCCAACCATGATCCTACTAAACTGTATGGCCTGTACTCACAGGGCTGAGAGCTCTGGATTTAAGCAGGTGGCCAGAAAGCTGCTGCCAGAAACTGACACAATAAAAAAAAAAAAAAAAAAAAAAAAAAAAAAAAAAAAAGAAAGAAAGAAAGAAAAGAAACCTGAGCTTAAATTCTGCATCCTGCATTTCCATCTGGAGACTGGAGTGCGTGGGCGGGTATGCAAGGCAAAGGCCACAACTGTTCCCCAGGGGTACTTGTCGAAAAGCCTTTGCTGGGCCCCAGTCACACCTGCGGGGCTCCCTGACCACGGGTCACCCTGGAAACGCTGCCCACTACTGAGCCCCAGGGTTTGCGGCATCTTATTGATCTTCCCGTGCTCTACTCAGGATGACCGGCTGAGGCCCAGTAGGATCTCCAACTCGCTGCTTGTCGTGAAGTGCATACACACACACACACACCCCAACTCACTCTCCGAGAGCCTGCCTTCTCCCGCTGCCTGCTCCCAGACCCACTGGCTGCAGTAGAAACGCCTTACCCTGCACACAAAGCATTCCGGGTGCCAGAGGGTGTTGAGGGCTGAAATGTAGTTCTCCAGGATGGCACGGGCACAGCCGCCACACTTGGGCGCAAACATGTCAAAATAATCTTTCCGACAGTAGGCTTTGCCATCCTTCTCGTGGAACCCTGAGGATTGGGGGTAGGGTAGGGACAGATTAGGGTATCTAGATGTGGAGCCACCCTGATTCCACCATCAGTGAGGTCATCCCAGAGGGTGACAGGCACGCCTGCCTTCCAGCCTAGCCATACCTTCTGGACCAAAGAAGGCTCCACACTGGGCACAGAAGAAGTGCTCCGGGTGCCACGTCCGGTCAAGAGCTGTTACTACTTTCTGTGAAAGCAGAAAATGGGATGAATCATGGGCAAGGTTCATGGCCAAAGAGCAGGGTACTTCCAAAGGGGTCTCTGCTAACTGCAAATACGAAGTATCGAGAGCTGCTCAAGTCTACACCTGTGCTTCTCACTGTGATTGATGGAAGTAGAGGAGCAGACTCCGGGCATCTCCTAACATTACATTGGGAACAGTGAGACAGCTGGCACCCAGCCCCTTGTCTATTGGGCTCCTAATCCCCAGGGCCTCAGCAGCAGAACCCCAGGTTGGGAGGTAGAAGGGAGCTAGAACTACCTAACGTGCACCAGGGCTGCTGTGACTCACCAGGGCCAGGCTCAGTCCTGTCACTTCCTGTCTGTGAGAGCCCTGGGGCTGAGGGCCCTGCTGCGCCCCCCAGCACCCCCATGTGTGCACTCACGTCCAGGATGGGTCCATTACAGTAGTAACAGCGTGGGGAGAAGAGGCTGTGGTAGTCCTTTTCACAGTACGGCTGTCCATCCCGCTCGAAGAAGTTCCGGGACCCAATCTCCTCCTGGCAGTGGGTGCAGACAAAGTGCTCGGGGTGCCATGTCTTCCCCATGGCAGTCACAACCTGAGAGGACAGACACAAAGTGACTCGGAGTGAAGACAGAAGCCAAGATCCCAGAGCTTACCTCTCTCCCCTCTTCTTACCTGCCCAGCAATGGGCTTCTTGCAAGCCCCACAGACCCCTTTGGCAACCGTGGCGACCCCCAGCTTGTTCAGGTCAGACTGCAGACTTCCCAGCATGCTGTCTAGCTGGCTCCCAGGCTTTGAGAGTCCCCCAGGGGGTGGGCTGCTCCCGGTTTTCCCCTGGGCCATAAACTGTGGGCACAGACAAGGCAGTCAGATTTCTAAGGTCTGGAGTGGGCAACTCACAGCAGAACACCCATGAGCCTTTGCATGGGCTAACTGAGACAAAAGGTAGTATCCTCTGGGGTGGGGGTAGGGGGGTGGTTACATCAGCAGGCAGTCCTGGGGTTAAGGAGGCCTTCCAGTACCCAGCTGTATGACCAAGCCCAGGAAAACATGCCAAGCAAGAACTCAGACCCCAGCCCAAGCACTGACCCCTCCCTCGTCCTGCCCTTCAGGGCTGCTCTGCCTGCTGCTGGGGGGCCAGCCGGCTGCCCACTGCCGCTCTCCATCCACTCTCTGCTCCAGGCCGTGCATCTTAGATGGGAAAGAAAGGAGGAGAAGACATTGTTTAAAGACTAAGACCGAGGCCTCGTCACTGGGTTATTTCACACAGGAAGCGCAGGTTCAGAGGATCTCTCACTGCTGGCAAGTACCAAAAATGAGAGTGGGAGGAGGGGAGAGACAGAGAGAAGGCACGGGGCAGGAGAAGGGATCAGTGTTTGTAAGTGCCCCAGGGAAGAGACAGGGGAGGGGATCTCCTGATGTCAGGCCTAGATACCAGGCTCAGGAAGCCCCGGGTCAGCTTCACCAAGGACTCAGCCACCCTGACACAGCTGAGGACGAGCCCTCTGTGCTTCCACAATATCCTCAGTCTGAGGTGGCTCAGGGATGACACACGGTACAGGTAGGGCAGAGGCTGGGACCCCTGGGAGGCCTGCCTGCATCGGGTGGAAGAGTGGGTCCTCGCTGGTCTGGCAGCCCACAGACCTCACGGTGTGGGGCACAGGAGTGAGGCCAGGAGGCCCATGCCTGTCCTCCTCCTGGGGCTTTCTCCCTGCACTCTGGACCCCAGGAGAAGCACAGGCACCAGCTACGGGCCCTGGACAGGAGGGAGTGGGCAGGCTGGGCCGGAGAGGTGAGCTGCTGGCCAAGGTGTCGGGGTGATGCTGGAGGAAAGGGTCAGGAGGAGGAGCCACGACAGAGAGGGTTCTTCTCAGGGGAATGGGAGAGTCAGGAGGGTAGATGACCTGGGAGAAGAGAGGGGAGAGAGATAGGAAGGCAAGAACTCAACAGCAGACAGCAGAGGGCAGAGTCGTGTGACCAGCCTTATCATAAGGCCATGAAATGCAGAAATCAACCCACCACCCCAAAATCTTTTTCAGCCAGCACTGGAGCTGAGGAAACCTCCAGACCCCACTTCCCAGACCTTGGCTCCGGCATTTGCTGGCTACCTTCTCCACCAACTGCCCCCCGGCCCGCCTCCCACGTGGCTGCGCAGTGATGACAACGCCTTCAGTTAGCCAGTCCTGGGCAGAGGCCCCTGCCACCTCCTCTGCCTCTAGCTGGATGCCCAGCCGGCCCTGCAGCTCTGCAATGAGCCGTTCTTGGGATGGGGTTCTGCTCAGGGTGGCAGGGTCCAGCCGGCGGCGAGGGGAGGGCTCCCGGGACATGGGGTGGACGTGGCCTGTCTCCCGGCTCCTCCTGATCACAGAGCGGATCTGGGGGTGGAGGGCAAAGCTGTCACCATCCCATCCCAGGCAAAGCATGATGGTTTGGGCCACACTAGGGTGTCACAGGGGAAGCGAGAGCAGCGGAATGGAGAGCAGCAGAGCTGAGGGAGGAAGCAGGAGGCGGGTAGGGCTGGCTCGGGCACAGCAGCTCTCAGAGTCCTGTGGCCCAGCATTCACACCCAAGTCAGCCTCTAACTTGGGACACAGTACTCAACTTCCAGGGACCCCGTCTCTCTGCCATTAAAATGGGATAGCAGCGTTTTCCTGGCTAACCTCATGGGGTTATCACCCTTCCCTCTTTCCTTACAACTCAAATAGAAAAGTAGAGTGTGCTCGCTCTCTCTCTCTCTCTCTCTCTCTCTCTCTCTCTCTCTCTCTCTGTTTTTGTTTGTTTTTTTCAAGAAAGGGTTTCTTTGTAGCTTTGGAGCCTGTCCAGAACTTGCTCTGTAGACCAAGCTGGCCTCGAACTCACAGAGATCTGCCTGTTTCTGCCTCCTGAGTGCTGGGATTAAAGGTGTGCGCCACCAGCGCCTGGCTTCTTTCCATCTTCTAACCAGTGTTTTCCTAGTTTATATTGTAACCTGCTCATCTGCAGTGTTGGGGGGCGCTGGAGAGACGGTATGGAGTTTGAATCTTACAAGAATAAAGGAAGAGCCAGGCAAGAAGGCACACAACTATAATCCAAGCACTCAGGAGGCTGAGACAGGACCGACAGCCAGGAGTGGAGGAAGGAAAGCCAGGCACTGTTTCATCTACTTTTCAGGAATTAATTCATCCAATTTTCTGGATGACCTTGGAAAATGCGCTATTATTACTCCCATTTTAAAGATAAAGTTGAGCCTCTGGATGGGTCCCCCAAGTCCCATGTTTAACAGGTGTTGCCAGAGTTGTATGTGGGTCTGTGTGGTTCCCAAAGTCATGGCTGTATCCTTCTGTACAGTGAAACTGGGACAGCTCTCCTGAAGGCAGTCTTAGGCAAGCAGGAGGCGGAGCATCATTGCTACTCTGCAGGGCCCGGAACAACACTGGCCTCACAGGATCACTGCTGAATACGTCCTTAGGGCCACCGTCCTCAGCACTTTCTACCCAGGCAGACATTTGTCAGGGCTGCATGCAGTTAGCAAGGAGTGGCCCACACTCAAGTCCTGCCAGGGTCATGCCTAGTGGTTGCTCAAGCTGGTGCCTGCCTGGCCAGCGGTGGAAATCCTCTCCGAGGTGGTGGGTGTGCCCATGACCACAGCATGAGAAAACTCCGGCTCTTCCTTCCTGGCCTCCAGAACGGCTTTGGTGGCACCTCCTGGGTTCTTTGGGTTCTGGAGTGGCTGGGTTGGTTCCCCCAGGCTTCCCCTCCAGGGAATCTTCCCACCTAACTGCTCCTTGTCAGCTGGGGCAGGGTAACTGCTTTCCAGGCCCCCTGGTTCTGACTGTGCTTGCTCATGCTGGCCATATTCCTTGGTGAGACTCCAGGTGTCTGGGAGCACAGCCTGCCGGTCCACTGCCACAATAGCTGGCTCAGTTCCTTCCTGAAAGTTGTAAGGCCCGGATGCTGACATAGCCTGTGGCCATCTCCAAACGGGAGCCACAGTCTCCTCTGAACACACACAGTTGGCCAGTGGCCCCTGGGATCCTGTGCTGGCAGCAGGGTGTAGAGTGTGGCCGAGGGGAGTCCTAAAGGGCTCATTCATGGACTCTATGAGGTCATTCCTAACTTGAGCCTGGCTCTTAGCACCAAATGATTGCTGAGAACCCTCCACAGAAGGACACCTTGAGTTCTGAGTGACAGGTGTCCCCTCGAGACTGACCAAATCAAGCCTTCTGGGAGCCACCAAAGGTAGAAGGACCTGACTATTTCCTTCCCTACTGAGGACCTCAGGGGTGTGGCCTTCAGGGGAGAATTTAGTGGGGGAAGGAGGATCGAGGGTGAGGGGTGGAGATGGAGGAGAGCTGGGCAGCAGCCCTTGGGAGCTCAGCACCACAGGAGAAGAACTAGTCTGGAGGAGAAAGACAAAGGGAAAGAGAGAGACATGGGGAGAGGTGAGGCAACAGGCAGCATGGCCTGAGTGTTCAGAGAGCCACCATCTACGCTGGCTGCAATACTCAGATCAGAGTCTTCAGAAAAGAGTCCAGCCCTAGAAATGCTTGCCTGAGCTTCATTTCATGTCCTTGCACCTTAGGAGGCCCAGGCAACAGAAAGCAGGCACAAAGTCATGCTTACAAAGTCACCCAGAGTAAGCACCAAGGAGACTTACGATGAGATGTGCGCTGGGGAGAGGGCTCCAGAGGTGGTTCCAGGTGCCCCAGCTCCATGCTCCACCCACCCCACTCTATCTCCCAGCTTTCCTATATCCTCAAGGCCTTTCTCTAGGGCTCCAAGAGAAAGCTTGCCTTCATGTGGCACTGGGCTAGAGGTCTAAGGAAGCAACTGCAGCCTTAGGGGATAGGCACCAGCACAGCCAGTGCCTAGACCCCAGCTTGTTTCTCAATGGCAGCTCATCACCTACTAACAAGGCTTACCAACCCGGACTCTACCTGCCACCCAATCTCCCACCTTCTTGTGAGCTCCAAGTATGAGTTCAGCTTAAAGGGAGGCAGGAGGTACCTTCTGGGCCAAGAATGGACAGACTGCCTGGCTCCCTTCTCATATTCCCTAAGCTGTGCCCCACAGATCTCTCTGGCTGGCCCATGTGGAGCTGAAGTCAGCAACTACTGGAGAGCTCTGTCAGTATTAATTCCTAACAAGGCACTACATCTTCTAAATAAAACGGTGTGGACTGGCAGGCCTGGAGAGCCTGGGAGGAGAAGGTGGGACACCTCATGCTGACCAGTCAGGGGCTTGGCAGGTTAGGTTTTCCACAGACAGGGCTCTGAGGACTCAGGTCCTTAAAGAACGTGGAGGGTAGAAGGGCTGAAGATGCTGGTAAACCCATCCTCACAGGCAGAAAGAAAGCGGTGTTCTCAGAACAGCTAGCGTGGGAGATATAGCGCTGGGGCAAGTGACCTCTCAGGCACGGGATCCTGATCCCACGAGGCCCAACAGGACACAACCTCCCCCACCAAGGGCAGCTATCAACAGAGGGCTCTTTGTCACTATGTCCCAGCCTCCTGATCCCCTTGACCTAGTGGCTGGGATCGCCAGGAGAGGGAGGAAATGTCCCAGCTAAAAGCATTTCTGGTTTCTCTGCCTTCACTGGCTGCAAAGGAGCTCAGTCTCATGTCCTGCCTAGCCCACCTCCCCCAGGGCCCTGAGGAGCCAGAGGCCATACTGAGGTAGGGTAACGGATGGGGGCAGAGAAGACAGAGGGATCACAGTGCACCTTAAAATCTGAGAGTGAAGCCATGAGCTCATCCAGCTCCCTGGTGGCAGAGGAGGCCGAGATGCGTGTCTGCTGCTGGCTGGAGGTGACTCGCTGTGGGCTGCTCATCTCACCCTGGTTCACAGTGATGGCTGGGCTGCAGGACAGGCAAGGTGTCAGTATGGAGCCCAAGGGCTAGCTAGCCCCAGGCTCCATAGGGGAGCAGATCAACAACACCTCTGACTCCAGAGAAGACCACCAGCACCCTGCACCTTAGGGATCCCCAGCCCTGGGAAAGAGGAACTAAGGAACAGTGCTGAGGTGAAGTGAGGTGACCAGAAGGCAGGTGGCTGAAATAGCGCCACTGACAGGAAGACAGGGGCAAGCTTACCCAGTGAACAAAGTCCCACTATGTACCCTCTACAACACTCTACACATGATGACATCAATAAACACCAACATTAACATAGGCAGGTGCAGTGGCTCTTACCTGTACACACAGCACTTGGGAGGCTAAGGCAGGAGGATTACTACATAGTGAGATCCAGAACAGTCTGGGCTATAGAGAGAGACCCTACCTCAAAATAAACAAACAAGACCTGACGTTATTAGTGCTTCCTACGAGTGCCACAGCTGAGAGCCAAGCCTCCCAAACATTATATACCATTTGGTCTCACTCTGTTCACTATGTGGGACCATCCTCATTATCCTTGTCTGCCTAACCAGTCTTACAGTTTATGGCATAGTTTGTGCCATGGTTTCATGTAGTCCAGAACTCACTTATGTAGCCCAGATTGTCCTGGAACTCTATCTGGTTCCTGGTTCTATCTATTGTCCTGGAGCCTATCTGGTTAAGATTTTCAAGAGTTTCCCCAGCCTGGGAAGAGCTTGGTGGATACTCACACAGGGCTGGGCACAGAACTCTCCAGTTCATCCAAGAGGCTCTCCACGCTGGGCCGAACATCCTCCAGGCCCCGGCCTCCATTTCGTTTTGGCTTCTCTTTCATCAGAGGCCCAGCTTTTCCTCCCAGAGAACTGTTATTCTCTGGGAAGCCATAAAGGGGGCTCAAGGCTCCAGGCAGTGGGGGGCTCGAATTGGACTCATCTCGGAGATAAGGAGACAAAATGGTTGCTCATTCCTCAGTCCTCCAGGAACCCAAAGGCCCCCAAGTAGCCTAGAGACCCACTCATACCTGCAGGGAAGCCTGGAGGATTATGCTGCACGGCATTCAGCTCTAGTAACAGCCGGTCCAGTTCCGAGAGGTTGCTGCCCAGGGAGGAGCTCATCACAGTGGGTGAAGGCTCTGCCGACTTCTGCTTGTTGGGGAAGCTTTGAGAAGCAGAGGAGAGAAGTGAGGCTTGCCTGCCTGCCCAGGAGCCTGGCACTGGAGGTGGCAGGCTTTAGATTCTCGAGGCCCAGGGTGTGGAATGTCACAAAGCTTCCTCAGTAAGAAGGCGGAGGGTAGGGAAGGAATGTGGGGAGGGAGGAGGAAGGAAACTGCTTCAGTTCCTCAACTGCAGATGCTGCAACAGTGGAGCTGGTCCTATTAGAGACGCAGGGACAGGGCAGAGGGGAGCCAGTGGACAGGCACGGGGCCTTGGGGCCTTCTGCAGTTAAACCAGTGGACCTAGAGTTGCCCAGAAATGGGGCTGATGTGGGGTGTTGGGTCTGTACCTGTAGACGTGCTCTTCCTCGCCTGCTCGGGAACACAGAGAGCCGTCCGGAGGGTTGGAGGCACCACAAGTTTTAGCACTGGAGCTGTACACGGGTGACGGGGATGGAGGCTGCAGAAGAAAGAGTACTCAGGAAAGAGGGGAACAGGAGACAGGAGCAGCCGGCCACCCCCAGGCAGTGACTGCTCACAGCCTGTCTCACCAGGGAATTTCCACAGCTAGTCGGGTGATTAATACGTGGTCATTGGCCCCTCACATGGTGGGTGGGAAGGGCAGAGTATGGCTGGGACAGCCCAGGACCCCAGTCCTCCCCAGTTGCTCACCATGTTCTTAGCAGATCAGCTCCTGTTACCCCTTAGCCCTGAGGGCTTCTCAGACCCCACCTTACCTGCTGGTGAGTGTATCGGGAACCACTAGGCTGCCACTGGTCTAAGGGGTCAAGGATCGTGCCATTGAGGGCATCGCTAGATGGGGGTGGTGGGACAGGAGGTGGCACTGCAATCTCCTGGTAAGTGTGGTTTCCAGTTGGGTATGAGTAGGGGGGCTCCTCTGACAAGAACACTGGTCGTTTGGAGATATGGGAGGTGGTAGATTCCAAGTCAGCCAGCAGGGCGTCTGCAAAGAGAAGCATCAACCAGTGAGAGCTGACCCTGCTGGGCACTGTCCCTGGGAACCTGAACCTGAAGAGGTCCTATCTGGCAGGCATCTGCCACATCAACAGAAGTGACCTGGGGTTCCCACAGGAGTTAGAGGCGGGCTGGGCTCTGCAATCCTCCTGATAAGGCTAGGCTGCAGCCTGGTGTAAGCAAGAAATGTCTGCTGGAACTCTATTCTTGCAGGGCAACTGGGAGAACCGGGCGGGACGAGCCCAAGTCACAGCATAGCACAGGGAGGGGCTGGGTCGAGAGAGCCAGGCATTCTCTGAACTTATAAGAACCTGCTTCCTCAGTCTGAAGACAGGAAGTGGCCCTAGGGAGCACCTGTCCTCCAGGTGGGAGCAGAATTCCTGCTCTAAGCTCCTCCCTAGGCCCCAGGCTATGAGTAAGGTATCTGCCGGTGCGGGGGTGGGGCTGGCATGAAGCCAGCTCAGCAGTTGCCACCCTCTCAAACAAGCTGGGGGCAAGACTGCTCTGCTGAATGCTTCTGCCAAAACCTGGCTATCAGCCCAGCCCTAGAAACTCCAGGGCCCTAGGACTCTGCTTTTAACTGCGGGGTTGAGGGGGCAGGGTCAGCCCTCGAAGACAAACTGCCATTACTCTGTTGGCATGTGGTAGCCAACAAGGGGCCCAGGCTCTTGACAGGAAGGGACAGCTAGAGGGGCAGGCAGGAGTTGGAGGTATTGGCCTTCCCACCGTGTGCCTCCCGTCTTGGGACCCTCCACAGCGCCATGGCCTGGGTAGAGTCCAGCCCCAAACGCCACACCCTCCGTCCTGCACTGCTCACTGACTTGTTCACTCTGGGCTTCTCAGGCTCTCGTGAGTGACAATCAAGAGCAGTGGCCACACTGATCACCACTGACTAGGCACCACACGAGGCATCAACACACGTGGTCACAACTGCCCCCTCTGGTGACTTAAAAGGCTGAGGAGAGTAGGCTTGGAAGCCAGAGGTACCTACACCAAGTAAGAAAGCAGGAAAAGGCAGGATCACATGACAAGCCTCAGCCACCAAGCCTGCAGGAGCTGCTATGATTACAAGGTGACAAGTCGACACCAAATCGAAGGAGCTCAACTTCCTACAAGCCAGGGGACTGTCACTCTGGTCATGCTGACCCTTGCTGGCCACCCTGACCCCACCCCATTCCCTCGCAGAGAGCAGAGAAGAGGGAAGCAAAGCCCTTGGCGAGGCCTATGAGGTCATGCCCTAGCCTAGCAGCCCTGACTGCCATTGCTAAGGTGGGCACACCTACCCCTGGCTCCTGTTGTGTGGCTGGGTGAGAAGCAGGTCCAAGGGCAAGGCCCTGGGTCCCAGTCTCCGGCTGAAGAAATTCTGCTCCTGTGGCCCCACCCCCTCAAGGTCCCCTGGAGGAGCTCTGACTTCCTGCCTTCCACAAACCGGAACTACAGGAATCTATATGTGTCTAGGTAAGGGCGTAAAAGGAACTAATGTCTAAAGCCAATCCCAGAGGACACCTGCTGTCCATTTCCTCTGGGCCCAACCCAAAGTAGGCGGAACCCCTCTTCCACCACCAGGGACTAAGCCTGCAGGGAAACCCTGCAGGGCTCCATAGAGCAGGCCACAAATACAGTCCTGACGGGGTTGGCAAGAGCCGTGGCCAGTCCTGTACACCAACCAGGGCCAGGAACTTGCCATCCTCCTTAACAACACTACCATAGAGGGCCAAGCTGAGGTCCCCACTGCCCCCCAGTTCCAAACACTCCAAGGAAGACAACAACCTTCCCTGCTAGACAGTGAGTCAGTGGTTCACTGCCCGCTCACCAAGTTCCCGTGCCCTGCACCATGGTGTGATGCTCTGTCTGGCTCTATTGGTTTATGGGCTGAATTCTAGTTTGATTTCATTTTTTTTCTATTCTGTTTTTATGGTACTAGAGATAGAAGCTGGAGCCTTGTGCACAGCAATGTCCACCACTGAACTACACTCCTTGGGGTCTGAGACACAGCCCTGTCATATAAACCAGGTGGCCACAAACTCTCAATTTTCCTGCCTCCATCACTACACGCAGCTTCCATGAATGTTTTTCATTTGTTTTCTTTCGTGTGTGTGTGTGTGTGTGTGTGTGTGTGTGTGATGGAGAAAGCACACTATTTCCCAATTTCCTCCGAATGTTTGCTTACCTGAGAGAGAGGAACTTCAGCAAGTACTTAAACAGGCACAAGCTCTGACAAGGCTTCCTCTCCTCTCTGCACCCTTAGTCCTGCCTGGTGGGTTAACTAGACTTGGAGTCCCTGTGCCTCAAAGCTCCCCACAAGTTGCTATAGGAATTTAGGAAGCAGTCAAAACACAAACCCTGGGACTATGGATTCCCACTGTAAAGGCTGGCATTTCCCATAACCAGCAAACTGGTTAAAGGCTAAAGTCCCCTCCTCGAGCTCAACAAGCTCCTCCCCTGGATTGAGTAAACACAGCCAAGATGTCTACCTGCCAGGAATTGCCCCCAGATTTCAGCCATGGCGACGACCTTTGCCTAGCTCTAAATATACAGGGGGTACTGGAAACCCCTTCACCTCAGGCACAAAGATCAGAACAGACCCACCACTACCTGCATCCTTCTCACAAGCTAGAGAGGCCTCAAAGTTCTTCAGCATCACATTGCTAAGGCCTGAAGCTTGAGCCCACAGAAGAGGTCACTGAGCAAGATCATGCAACCCTGCGTACAAAAGGGCAAAGAGAAGGTAGGCAGGGTGCAAAGTGCCCAGCTGGCCAGGGGCAAAAATCACTGTGCTATGCATTTTGAGTAAGGGTGTGGACCATCTGCTGCTGACCACCAGAGGGAGCCATTGGTCCATCACCTTTCTGCCATCCCGCGTAACCTCAAGCAACCACAGAATTTTCTTGCTGAGCTGGGGAAAGACTAGGGAGTCGACTCCCAGCTGTAGTGAGAGGTTTCAGTACCAAGACAAGCAGGCTGACTTACAGGCACACAGCTGGCATGTAAAGTGGCTTGCGTGCCAAGACCCTGGGCATGCAATCCAGAACATATGGAGGTGCAACTGAAGGGTGGCATGAAGTTCAAGGGCTCCATGGGTGCAGAGGAACACACTGAGTCACTTCTACTCTCTCTGCAAATGTAGGGTACAAGTACCCCCCTTTCTATTTTATAGCTATGCCTGGCTCAAGCAACAGCAGCTTCAGGTCAGGAGGCTGTTCCACGGCGGCTGGATAACACCGTGCACAGGTGGCCAGGCCGAGACAAAGAGGTCTTCGGTAGGCTGAGGCAGGAGGACTGCTGCAACCACAGGCCAGCAGCCAGGCCCTGTCTCAAAACAAACTAACAGCAATCTTTTCTTTGTTTGGTTTTTGTTTGTTTGTTTTTCGAGGCAGGGTTTCTCAGTAGCTTTGGAGCCTGTCTTGGAACTCACTCTGTAAACCAGGCTAGCCTCAAACTCACAGGGATCCACCTGCCTCTGCCTCCCGAGTGCTGGGATTAAAGCATGCGCCACCACCACCTGGCATCAATGAAACAATGATAATAATTAAAGCAGGAAGGACCCTTCTAGGCTCTGGTAACTAACCAAGATAGAAACATACAGGCCTGCAGCCCTGAGGGGGTTCACATGAAGGCAAGGGAGGCACCCAAAGCCTACCTGAGGAGGAGCTAACAAGGGGCTCACCAGACTGCTCTGACCACATTCCTCAGCAAATGCTACAGCTGGGCCCCTCAAGATCCTTTGCCAGCAGAGGCATAGGTGCCAGTACCCAGAGTCCCCTCAAGTCCCCAACAAGAGGAGTGTCTACCAGACTATCCTCTGAGGACTCGAGCTGATCAACAGATAAACAGCACCCAACAATGGATGAAAGAAAATCAGTGGGACTAAGAAACGAGCTCAGTAGCAGAATCCCCCCCCGCCCCGCCCCTCTCTGTTTTTAAATTCATTTATGGAGGAGGAAGAGCCCTCATTCAAATGCCTAGGTGTGGGTGAGCAGGCCAGAAGAAAACTTCCGGAGAGTCAGTTCTCTCCTCTACTACATGGACCCCAAGGACTTAGGTTGTCAAACACCTCAGAACTTGGTAGCAAAGACCTCAGAACTCTTGTCTGGCAATCCAGGGTTCAGTCTCTAGCACCTCCTCCCCATACACACACACACACACACACACACACACACACACACACACACACACAGACACACACTGGCTCCAGTTCAAAGCAGAGAAGCCAGGGCTCTTTCACATGCTGGCCCCTTTTTCCTGACAGTCCTAACCACACTCTGGGTATGTGGTCAAGACTGTCAAAAAAGCAGAGTCTGGATGCTGGCCAGGTGCCAAGAAGGTGAGTTAAAGGTCCAATGAAGACGATTCGAGTTCTGTGGAGATGGAGCTGGGCCTCGAGCTACTCCTCTCACACCCTTCAGCGCGGATGTTACAGCTGGCATGCAGGGATTTGGAGACAGACGGCCTGCTCCCTAGCTGAACAGGTGTTTCAGAAAACCGAACACCTACATACCCCGTTTCAAACACACAATTAGGGTCAAACAAGAAAGCAGGCACTCCTTGGCCTTGGGCAGCCAGTGAATGGGAAGCTCCTACCAGAAGAAAGGACATCTAGTGCTGGGCCGGCAGGCAGGCATCATTCTGGCCAACACAAGGCCCTGGAGGGAACCTGTGATGGCTGTTCTTGGTTGTCCACTTGACTACGTTTGGAATTAGCTAATACCCAAGGGGCCGGGAATACCTGTGAGGGACTTTTCCTTATTTAAACCACTTGAAGTGGGGAAATCCACTTTCAATCTGATTTTTTTTTCCCTGAACTAGCACCCTCTGTAAGAGCAGTTATTAACCACGGGGCCTCTCCAGCCTCTCATTTGGGTCTTCTAAGGGGGGAAGGTCTGCCTCTAATCTGGACCACACCTTCTGCTGGAAGCCAGTATAAAGGAGTGGGGGAGGAAGCTCTCCCCTCTTGCTCTTGCTGGCAAGCCCATTCCTTCACTGGCATTA